TCTGCAAGGATCATGAAGGCAAGTGCTTTGTCTCGTAGAGGGCATGGATTTTGTTTTGTTCCCTGCTATTTCCCTAATACTTTGCACACATTAGTGCTCAATAAACATCTGATGAATGGAATGAAAGAATCTGGCCCTGGCTACCTGTTCAACCTTTCATCTCATGCCAGTCTTCCCCTTATACAATATGCTTTTGCCATCTAGCCTCCTTGCTGTTCCCTCAAAAATTCCTTCCCATCAGGCCTTTGAAACTGTTAACCCTTCTTCATGAAATGATTTTACCCAAATGCTCAGCAAGACTGTCTCCTTGCCTTTCTTCAGATCTCCCTTAAAGGGTACCTCCTCAAAGATGCTTAATCTGTTCACAGAAATCCCCTCCCCCAACATAATTAGACTCCATTCAATTCATTAATTTCATCTCATAATTATCAGTTTACTATCTCTCATCAGATTTTTAAGTTCTAGAAGGGCACAGACCATGTGTTCTGACATGAAAAATGTATACCTAGTGCCTATCCCAGGATCAAATACATATTAGGTGCTCAGTAGATACTTGTTGAGTAAGTGAGAAAGGAAAGGTGGTACCAAGGGCTTCTAGCATCTTATTGTTTTGGAAACAATCTTTATGTATTAGTCTAGCCACATGTTACAAAGCTTTACCCCAAATTATCATTTTAACTTTTGTTAATTGTATTTTCCAACATACACAAATTAATTCTTTAAGGTTCTTGCTATGACAATGAAAGATTCTTTCCTATCTCAAGATTATATTAAAAGCTTTTTACTTACATTTACTTCTAGTGTTTTTATTTCTTTTTAAGTAGCTCTTTACTTCAACTGGAATTTTTTTGAGTGTGTGTGAGGAAGATCAGCCCTGAACTAACATCTGCCAATCCTCCTCTTTTTTTGTTGAGGAAGACTGGCCCTGGGCTAACATCCATGCCCATCTTCCTCTACTTTATATGGGACGCTGCCACAGCATGGCTTGACAAGCGGTGCATCGGTGCGGGCCCGGGATCCAAACCAGTGAACCTTGAGCCACCGCAGCAGAGCGTGCACACTTGCACCACCAGGCCGGCCCCTGGAATTTAATTTGATGTAACTATGTAACTGTTTTCCAAATAGATGGCTATTATTCCAAAACATTCATCATATACTTAAAACTATATTATTTCTAGATTCTATTCTGTTTCATTGATCTAGCTATATATTGCTGTGCCAAAACCCTACATTTTAATATCACTGGGTTTAAAACATATATATCACGAACTGTTTAAGCAAGTGTTCCTGCATTGTTGTTCTTGCAAATAAACTCCAACATTATTTGGGCACATTTCAAGAATACGCCCACTTGGATTACATTAAATTTATAGATTTGGGGAAAGTAACATCTTTATATTAAATGTTCCCATCTACACGGTAATGAAAAATCAGCCCTAACCTTTCTACCACCATTACTGATATTATTTATTCCATTTCCCACCTAATTGCACTGCCTAACACTTCCAGAATAATGCTAAACACTGATGAACACAACGATCTTTGACCTCTTCATAACTTCAATGGGTGTGTCCAGTATGTCACGGTAAGCATGATGCTATTAGTTTGAAATATGTTTACAATATACATTGTTATCATTTATTTAAATCGTGCTATAAAAGTATCATTCAATTCTTATTTTTAGTTCACTTGGTTTAGTTTTCAATCAAAATGTCTAACATTTTATCTAATGTCTTTGAGACACCTATCAAATACTACAAGGTTCTCTTTTTCTTTTAACTGTTATAAATTATAATTGTGTATGATATATTGAGGCATTCTGGCATTCATAGAATAAACTCCTTTTGGTCAGAGTATTACCCTTTTATCATAATGCTAATTCTATCTGCTAATATTTTATTTACAATTTCTGTATCTAAACTCATAAGCAAAACTGGTTTGGGGGTTCAGTTTGTTTTCTAATCTTCATCAGGTTTTAGTATCTAGTGGTCATACTGGAAAAAAAGAACTGGAAAGGCTATCCTTCTTTCTGTAAGCTCCAGGTTTAAATTTCTTTGCCTATGTTTCAACTTATTCAACTAACACTCCTTGAGTAGCCACTGTATATATGTTAGACACTGACAATATAAAGATAAAAAAACATAAATCTTTGATGCAAAAAATTAAGTGAATGATGAATAAAACATACTTGTCAGTGTACTATAATATGACTGGTTCACCTACACATACGTATAGAACTGCACAAGGAATTCTTCACAGAAGAACTGAAATTTGAGCTAAGTCTTGCAGATAAGGAGGAGAAACAGAAAGGAGAACAAGCATTCTAAACAGATGTTACTGAACCAATCATTCCCACTTGCTCTTAAATAATTTTAATTCGTATGACTGTATTTTCTATAAGATGATGCTATGTTACTAATAGCAACTGGAATCGTATGTTGGTATATTGACAAGACCTGTATTTCTTTCCTCTTTATGTACGTAAGTGGGACTTGATATTTGTAGAGCTTGTTATTTGAAAATCACTCTTAAATTCATGTTTTTTTCCACCATTTTTTCAAACTCACCATATTTCTGACTGTTCTCTGCCAGAATAACACTGTGGCTTTTCACAGTCCTAAACTATTCACCATTTATTAACTCCAACACTCAAAAATAAATGGGTATAGGTTGAAATATTCAGAACAGAAGCAGTAAAAACGTAACAATCAAAGGTCATCATGATGCTGGTACAGTTTTCATGTCACATGCTGTTTGAGATTATCACAGATTCTCTTACAATGTTCTATGGCTAGGCTCTGGGTTATCTCATTAAAATATAAAGTCTTCAAAGTAAACTGAAAGAAATCCAAGATGTGCCTATAACATAGTCGATAGAAAATTTTCTAAAATAGTATGGTCTGGTAATTTGAAGGGCATAACGTCCATAGCTGCACATTAACCATAACAATACAGTATAAGCTGTTGGGAGGATAAACTGGTCCAATCACTCTCGAAGATAAGATTATTCCAAGTTTCTAAAATGTACACACTCTTTGATTGAGCAAATTCATTTCTAGGAATGTATCCTAAAGAAAAAAATTAATGTACAGGAATATATGATTAAGGATATTCAGTACAGGACAGTTTTAAAATACTGAAAAATTAATAGTAGTCTAAATTTTCAACAGTAAGAGATAGTCAAATAAATGCAATGGAACACTATAAATTCATCAGAAACTACAAAACTCTACACATACTGACAAGGAAATTTACCTTTGTCCACTGGTCAAGATAAACTATTTAAAAAAGTAGGTAATATTACATTATGCATAGTTCCACTATCTAACACAGTAGCCTCTAGCTGCATGTAGATATTTAAAACTAATTTGATTGATTAAATTTACTTTTGGGGCCAGCCTGGTGGCATAGTGGTTAAGTTCACCCGCTCTGCTTCGGCGGCCTGGGGTTCCCAGGTTTGGATCCTGGGCATGGACACACACGCCCCTTATCAAGCCAAGCTGTGGCAGGCATCCCACATATAAAGTAGAGGAAGATGGGCAAGGAGGTTAGCCCAGGGCCAATCTTCCTCAGCAAAAAGAAGAGGATTGGCAACAGATGTTAGCTCAGGGCTACTCTTCTTCACCACCCCCCCCCCACAAAAAATTATTTTTAAATTAGTTATATTTAAATAAAATTCAAAATTCAATTTCTCAGTCACACTAGCCACATTTCAATTGCTCAAAAGTCACATGTGGCTAATGGGTAGTGGCTACAACACTGGACAGATACAAAATTTCCTCATCACAGAAAGTTATATTAGACAACACAGTATTATATCTTTTTAAGGGAAAGAAACATAGAAATAATGAAAGAATGTATACATAATAAAAATGACTGGAAACATATACATAATGAAAATTAACAGTTTTTACTAGGTAATGATGCCTTGGGTTTTAAGTTTTTGCTACTCTATTTTCTAATTTTACTATAATAAACTATAATGGATTTACTGTGTAATAAAATCATGTTTTTACAAAACAGTGAATTTCTCCTTCAAAAATAAAAATGTCCCCACTGTAAATAAATATTTCAGATTTTTTACAAAAGGAGAAATTATAGAACAAACTACGAATTTAGAAGTATTCTTTTAAAGTCACTGTTTTGCTGCTTTGGGAATATTCCATTGGTTTAACCTCCTTCTTCACATTTCATTTAAAAAGGAATTATTCAGACTGGCACTAACACAGTTCTGAAACTTTTTTTCCCCCTCTCCAAATGTGAAAGTTATCTGAAGTCTCTGACCACATATAGAGAATTACGGCTGTTCATTTTTTTTAATTCAACGTAAGATGAAGTCCTCATTTATGCTTTCTTATAATGAAGCATTACCTAGAAAAGTGAAAAATTATCAATAGTCACAGTGGTCAGCTAAAGTCTGAGTTTCCTCTCTAAAAAATAAGTGACAGTGTGCCTCTATTTCATTCTTTCTCACTGTGCCTCCATGGCAGCAAATGATTTTTATCACATACCTTTTACAGCAAGGCAACAGTTTCCATGGAAACCACAGGGCAAACATCCATTACTGCTGCCAAGAACTTTACAATCACACCTAAACTGAGGTAACTGCTTACTGTCTCTTACTAATATTTTAAAATTGAGCAATAGATAGCTACTCTGATTCTGGTTTTGTTACATGTATCTGTATGAACAAATCATGAGATGAGTAATCAGGAAAATTCTGTGCCTCTCTAGCAAGAAAATGAGTCTACAGAAACCAGGAGCGGGGGGCGGGGGGGAAGACCCGGAAAGTTATCAAGCTAGTATACACACCAGTCAATGTCATCTTATACTAGAGAGCAAATCAGAATAGAAATCAGTAAAGCACGTAAATATCAAAGAAGAAATTCCCTTCCACTAGCTCAGTAGAGCATATAAATTTATCTAGGCCAAGATGCTGATTAATGAAGGAAAAACAAGACAACAATAAGTCATAACAACTGAGAAAAGTGGTCACTCACCTCTCTCAACATATTGTTCTCTTTTTCCTTCTGCTCCAAAAGGCTTTCTAGGTGGTGGACGTGCATCTCTGCCTCTGCCAGTCGTCTTGTTCTCTCATGGTCTTCCTCGGTAGCCTTAGCAGAAAGTCCTTTGCTCTGCAACATCTCCAGAAGTTTCTTGATGGATTCATCCCGAGCATTTAGGGTTTGCTTCTGAGTCTCAATACGCAGCTCCATTTCCTCCAGAGTCTTTCGAAGAAGGAACAGCTCTTTGGCCTGGCGCTCATGCTCAGCCTGTAGCCTCTGAAAGTTCTCCTCCGTCAGCTCTGCAACACAAGGTTCACCAGTCCTACTGCTACTATCTTGCTGAAATAGCTGGTTCAGGTCCCTCTGGATCCGCAATTCATCCTGGAGAGCCTGGATTGTCATTTGCATGTGCTAGAACCAAGACAAAAAGGAAACTCCAAATCAGCTTTCCTCCTCCAGTAACAAAAACGGAGCAGATTGAGGGGAGTCAGGCTACCAGGGTTCTCAGAACCCTGCACTTAGCAAATCAGGATTCACGTCATTCTATTTTACATTGTCTTAAAAAACGATTGAGATAATCTGTAAAATGTCAATAATTTAACTTGTGTTTATTCCCAACAGGAAACAAGTATGGCAGCTCCTCACTTTGCATAAACCATGACAAACTAAAGACACTGTTCAAAATTAATAGACAGTATTACATAGAACTGAAGAGGAGGGGAGGGGAAAGGCAGGGGAAATCTACAGGAATATAAACACATCTTACAAAAAATCTCACCAAATAATACAAAGTATATAAAAACATACATGACTTTTAAGTATTTTACAATTAAATTTACACATTAAATAATAAATACTATCATTTAATGAGTAGTCTACTAGCCAGATTGTGCCAAGCACTTTTTATGTATTAATTCATTTAATCCTCACTATGACACATACTATTATTTCAATTTTATTGATGATGACACTAGGCTTACAGAGATTTAAGGAACTTGCCCAAGATCACACAGTAAGTGACAGAGCTGGCATTCAAATCAAAGCAATTCTCCCACCCCACTGAAACTAGTACTACCCAAAGGTAATAACATAACTTGAAGCTTTAAAAAACAAAACAAAACTGAGACTATGTGAGCTTTTTATACAGGGGAAGATAACAATATAGGCAAGTAATTAAATGAAGATGTTAATGCAGATAAACTACTAAAATGTTTGAGAGGATATATCTTTAGCCTATACCCCTAATGAAGGTATATGAACCTTTAATCTGAACAGATACATTCCAGCACCTTACACAAAGACTCTAAAAGGATGTTACATCAAGAATCATATTTTTAGAAATGAAGAAGAAATAAAAGATCACTTTTTATACTCAAGGTATTCAAAGCCTGGCAGTATGCCACAGTGGAAAAAACACTAACCCACAATCAGAAGACGAGAGTTTTAGTTCCAACTCTCACACTAACTAGCTACGTAATTTGGGACACATTGCCATCTTTCTGGGTTTCAGATGCCTCATATTTAAAATGAGGATATAAATATCTGCACCATCTTTCCACAGAGTTAATAATATCACGGAAATCTTTGTGGTGTATATTTTAAAAGATACATTGTTTAAAAATTTTGGCAGAATGGAAAATAGCAGTATAGTAAATATCTCAAAAAAATGATTTTGCAAGTGTACAAAGATGTATATATAAAGATACTCATTGTTTATAATAGTGACAAAATTAGAAATAAGCTAAATGCATATTAATAGGAGATGAGTTAAGTAAATGGGAAATGTCCAAAACTTAATGCTATGCATCAATAAAAAATAACAAGGTAGATTTATATTTACTGATGAAAACTATGGTCACAATATATTATTTTAAATGTAAAAAAAGACTATATAATAGCAGGTACAGGATGATCTCAATTCTGATTTTTAAAAGAGTATATACACGCAAAGAAAAGTCTAAAAGGATGTAAACAATTACCAAAGACTATCTCTGGGTATGGGCAGCTTTTATATTTTTCTTCATACATTTTTGTACTATCTAAATCTCCTACAGTAAGCCTATAATCCTTTTGTAATAAAAAAAAAATGACATTTTTACCTAAAAATAAGAGAAATAGACTTCAGAGATGCCTGCTTGGATGAAGAATACTGTGTTCAGTTTGCTCCACTTTCATTAAAAGGAAGGGAACAATAAATATTTACTATAAACAAAAAGTAAAACATTCATAAGAAATAAAGATATTTCTGGAAAGTTACAGAAGAAAAAATTAATGGTTATTTTTATTAAAAAAGAAAGAAAAACTGGAATGGTTGAGAAACAACTTGTGAGAAGACATTATATATTTATTCTATTCCTCCTAAAATTTTTTTAACTGAGGTATAATTGACATTTTAATTTTGTTAGTAACAGCTTTATTGAAATATAATTCATCTGCCATAAAGATCACCTCTTTAAAGTGTACAATTCAATGGTTTCCAGCATATTAAAAGTTATATATCGATCACTACTAATTCCAGAACACTTTCACCACCCCTAAGAGAAATTTCATACCCATTAGCAGTCACTTTCCATCTTCCCTACTCCTAACCTTCCTCTTGAATTTAAGCTAAATAGATGTACTACCCATTCAAAAATTAAATTTAAAAAAATGCCTACCAGGAGCCGACCCGGTGGCGCAAGCAGTTAAGTGCGCGCACTCTGCTGCGGCAGCCCAGGGTCCGCCAGTTCGGATCCTGGGCGCACACCGACGCACCGCTTGTTAAGCCGTGCTGTGGCAGTGTCCCATATAAAGGAGAGGAAGATGGGCATGGATGTTAGCCCAGGGCCAGTCTTCCTCAGCAAAAAAAAAAGAGGAGGATTGGCATGGGATGTTAGCTCAGGGCTGGTCTTCCTCAAAAAAAAAAAAAAATGCCTACCAATATATTTCAACCTTATAAAGGAATGAAATTCTGACACATGCTACAATATGGACGAACCTTGAGGATATTACACTAAATAAAATAAGCCAGTCACAAAAGACAAATATTACATGATTCCACTTAAATGACATATCTAGAGCAGTCAAATTTATACAAACAGAAAGTAGAACAGTGGTTGCCGGGGCTGGGAAGAGGGGAGGGATGGGGAGTGACTGTTTAAGGGGCACAGAGATTCAGTTTTACAGGATGAAAGAGTTCTGGAGATGGAGGGTTGCACAACAATATGAATGTACTTTATGCCACTGAACTGTACACTTGAAAAATGGTTAAGATGGTAAATGTAAGATGTATTTTACAACAATAAAAAAAATTGGGGGAAAAAGACATCTGCCATAGAATTCCACTGTATGAATATTAAATAATTTATTTATAACTATTGATAAACATTTAGGTTGGTTATTTTTCACTATTATAACAGGCACCTTCATATGTACATCTTTGCACCTATATCCAAATTGTTCCTGGGGAAAAATGCTCAAAGGTGGAATTGCTAGATTGGAGGGTATGCAGTTATAATTTTGATACATGTTACAAATTATCTCTAAAAGAGTCTGTACAGATTTAAACTTCCCCCAAACAATATCTGGGAGTGGGCACTTCTCCATACCTTTTTTTTTTTTTTGTGAGGAGATCAGCCCTGTGCTAACATCTGCCAATCCTCCTCTTTTTTTCTTTTGCTGAGGAAGCCTGGCCCTGGGCTAACATCCGTGCCCATCTTCCTCCACTTTATATGGGACGCCGCCACAGCATGGCTTGCCAAGCGGTGCGTCAGTGCGTGCCTGGGATCCGAACCGGCGAACGCCGGGCCGCCGCAGCGGTGCAGCACGTGCACTTAACTGCTTGCGCCACTGGGCCGGTCCCCACTTCTCCATATCTTTGAAAACTTTGGGTACTTTCTTTTTCTGGCATTTCTTTGATTACAAATGAGGCTGAACATCTATTCACATATCTACTGGCACTTTGTATTCCTTCCTTTGTGACTCATCTGTTCTTGTTCTCTGCCCATTTTGTTAGTGTGACATTTAATCTGTTTTCCTAATTCATTTTAGGAGCTTTTTATATCAGAAAAATAACCTTTTGCCTGCTGTGCATGTTACAGAATATTTCCAAGTCTGTCATTTTTCTCTTAACATAGTTTACGGAGACTTTTAAATAGACAATTTTTTTTTTTTTTTGAGGAAGATCAGCCCTGAGCTAACATCCATGCCAATCCTCCTCCTTTTGCTGAGGAAGACTGGCCCTGAGCTAACATCTGTGCCTATCTTCCTCTACTTTATGTGGGATGCCGCGACAGCATGGCTTAACAAGCAGTGCGTCGGTGCACACCCGGGATCCGAACCAGGGCCGCCAGCATGGGAGCACGCGCACTTAACCGCTATACCATGGGGCCAGCCCTAGACAATTTTTTTTAATGTAAAGATATCAACATTTTCTTTTATAGTTTCTGGTTTTGGTATTGTGCTTACAAAGTAGTAAACTTTCAATTCTGGTAGTCTTCAAACTCTTGAAAAGTATTGCTTTTTCTTACCAAGAATATATTTAAAATAAAATTATCAGGGGCCGGCCCCGTGGCTTAGCGGTTAAGTGTGAGCGCTCTGCTACTGGTGGCCCGGGTTCGGATCCCGGGCGCGCACCAACACACCGCTTTGCCTGCCATGCTGAGGCGGCGTCCCACATACAGCAACTAGAAGGATATGCAACTATGACATACAACTATCTGCTGGGGCTTAGGGAAAAAAAGGAGGAGGAATGGCAATAGATGTTAGCTCAGAGCTGGTCTTCCTCAGCAAAAAGAGGAGGATTGGCAAGGATGTTAGCTCAGGGCTGATCTTCCTTGAAAAATAAATAAATAAATAAATTAATTAATTAAATAAATTAAATAATCAGGTATTTTAATTAATGAATATGATTTTTTAAAAGCATTTAACTGGCAGCATCACACTATAAAAAGTCTCAACAGTTGATGGAGTTCAAAATCCTTAATAAAAAAAGTGTCAAAATGCTAATTCTCTGAAGCCTAGAACCAACCCTAGTTTCCTTCCTTACTTTTGGAAGTCAAAAAATCCAGTTAAATCCTGAGCGAATTTATCCCAAAGGGAAAGATCAGAAGTTAAATTCAACAACGAAACTGATTTCTAGGTACAACTTTCCTCCTTTTTTGGACATTCATCACCAATTCATTCAAGTAAGGAGAAACAGACATTGACTACAGCTAATAGTATCACATATACTTCAGCACATACGATTAAATCTAGTACGGCCATTAGTATTTTGGTAAAGAAAGAAAATACAACTACTAATGTGTCCATTTCTTCAGCTCTGCTTGCACCCATTTTACTATGGTATAGAATTAACACAATGCTCTGACTGGTAGCCTAGAAGGCTACACAGCAATTTTCTCCACTGAAATAGGAATCAACGTTCCTACTTG